TTAGCCGTCTTTTCAAACACTATATTTCTACATCAATGACGTTAAACCACTTGTTCTCGAAGTTAAGCCACATCGAATATGGTCAATACCTAGATAGGCGACCGCTTGGGAATACCGGATGTTGTAAGCTTGGATGTGCAGGTGGTGTAAGGGTTAACGTCTCGGGATGAGAAATCTGAGAGCTGAGTTCGAATTCCAGTCGAGTTCGCTATATTCACTTCTGCACAAATAACCTTGGGCGATAATGATTACTCAAGGAACATGATCACCCAGGTGTATCACATACGCCCCCATAGCCAGTGATGTAATGTAATGGACCATTCCTTCCGATGAAACTGGAGAAGGCCAATATCGAACAGGGGATCATCACTGCCCGAGAAGTAAGTAAGTAAGTAGATCAATAATTCACTAATAGAAATATTAATAGAATTAAATCTAAATATACTGCCTTAAATAATTGTTGTAGAGTAGTTTTCACAGTTGAGGCTTGTATTTCACTAAGTCGGTCCTAAAAGAGGTTCGACGTACAAAACGTTAGGAACTTGAAATAATAGTTAATGACGCAGCAATCTAGTTGTGGTGGTTGATACTTTAATGTCCGACATCGACTGACACACCAACTCCACTCAGCCCCCTGGCGATTGCTACTACTACTACTTATTATATCTGGGAGAGTCTATTTACAATAGAATAGGTATGTTCCGGTATAACAATAATGCAGTAATACTTGTATTAAAATATGAAAATAGAGTTTGATTAGACATGAAAGATCGATCGTCCAGGGTAAGACGATAAACTACATCCAGCAGCAAGTCTCTGATCAGGAGATTTTGATGAGCATGGAACCACCTCTTAAGTGCTGGTGTTTCCAGGTCCACAATGAACCAGGGTGGTAGCACATGTCAGGGTCCCAGCTATGGACAAATAGTTACCCCTCGCAAAAAATGGTAAAAAACACTATGAAAGTATAAAAATAGGTTTTAATACAAGCAATACTTTTTTGGAAATTTTTTTGCCAGCAATAAAAATGTCGGCATTAAATAACCCACTAAGGTGTTGATATGCCGTAAAAGAAACCAAACCAAACCATGAAAGATGGAATTAAATTAAAATACAATATTTCAGAGCATTCAAGGATATCCTTAAAATACGACAATATATTTTTGTTAGAAATGTAAAAAAAGAATATCTTCCTTAATTTACATGGAGAAGGCAATTAATTAAAATACCATGTCGCTTCAAGGCGCACGTGATCGGGACATTCCAGAGATTCCTTTTCTTTACTATCTGGAATTTACTATGCCTTCTTGGAGAAAATATTGATTTGGACATATACATATATATATATATATATATATATATATATATATATATATATATATATATATATATATTGAACGATAAAAATATCAAAAAATTAAAATCTTCAGACACACTAGGTTGTATATTTATTATTTTATTATTTCATTTAGATTCCTCGACTAGTTTCGACCTCTCTCTCTCTCTCTCTCTCTCTCTGTATATATCTATATACATATATATATATATATATATATATATATATATATATATATATGTGTGTGTGTGTGTGTGTGTGTGTGTGTGTATGTGTGTGTGTGTAAAAATATATAGAAAATAGGAAAGAACCTGTTAGGTAAATAATCCAGAGTTCTTTAGTATTTTGTTATTATTTTAAAAAGATAGTGCTCGATACAAAAGTAGAGCATACATATAATTATCTATTTAAAAATATGATTCCAACGCGTTGGAATCATATTTTTAAATAAATAATTATATATATACAGAGAGAGAGAGAGAAAAGTAGATAGATACTGAACAGTTTTGAATTCAGTGTATTTTTTTCTTTCTCTTAGAATGGTTGCCATTCAAATGGATAGAACCTTGTCTACTCATTTATTTAACCCATAGGCGGTGGGGATGAGAGAAGAGATGGGTTCATGCCTTTCCAAATTGTATTAGTACAAAAGTGAAAACAACTGACTAGACCGGAATTTGAACTCGGAGTTCCCGCGTCCATATTCGTTACATTTTCTGCACATCCGCAAAAATAATGCTTTATTCAAACATACGAAGACAGAGAGAAATTAAATAAAAGCATCATTTTCTAGAATGCAATCATATTTCTATTAAAACATTCCAATATAATCGCGTTGTCAATGAAAGATATTAAAGAAACATCTTAAAACGTTAGTTCATAGAATGCAATCTTAATTGTATTAAAACATACACTTTGATTAGCTATGAGAGGAGAATGCAATATAATTCAATAAGCTCGATAGAGAAGACAATTATGCCTCGATAAAACATTGCAATAACAATATCGAAACTAAATATGTTATTTTAAGGTGTTAGCATTTTATTCTTTTATTCGTAGTTAATCAAACTATATTGGCCTACTTCAATGCATGCATAATTGCATTGCACAGAACAGCTAATAAAATGGCGATGTTACTACGTATTTGAAACGGTAGAGGTTGCAAAAACGTGTTTTTGCATTAATAATAAAACGTGCTGGCAACGTTACCTTGTGACGTTGTAAATGCGTTGCCTTGTAGCGTTATATTAACAGAAAATGGATACTAAATTCCAGGAAAATACTAGAATGTGTATACATCTAAATTAATAGAAAATAAATAATAAATTTCAAGCAAATATTACAAAGTGCATTTATCATCCAAATTAGTTATTCTCAATTTAAAAAAAAATATATACAAAAAAGAAGTTTTATGCCTTCTAGAAATATTGTTATATAAAGAAAAAGTATCTTGATGTTATAATTGACCAGTGTAGATTTTTTTTTCACCTACAGCATTTTGAAACATTGTGACAACGTTGGGGATAAGCGGACATTTTGGAGTCAGGAAAACGTTTGACTGCAATGTTGCAATAACATCGCCACAGTGTTATATGTCCTCCAACCAAAATGCAAGTTCTGTATTAGCTGGGGTATTCAGTGGCTTTACTGTCTGCTTAGGTAAATTGATTAAAAAAAAAGATAGAATGTGCATTCATCATTTAAAGTAATGATTCTCAATTGAAAAATGCAAAAGAAATGTTTATACCTTCTGTACAGATTATTAAGCGAAGAAAAAGTTTTTTGATCTTATAATTGACCTGTTCTGAATTCGTAAGCTACAGCGTTTCACAATATCATGACAACGTTAGGGATAAGTGGGCCTGGAATAGAGTTGACTGCAATGTTGCAATAAGATCGCCACAATGTCATATTTTCTCCAACCAAAACAGAAGTTCCGTGTTAGCTGGGATATTTGGAATTGAAGAATTCTGCTGCAGAGTACAACCTTTGTGTGTCACGGGATTCATGACCATATTTTACTAATATGACTGTTGTGACTGATACGCGTAATATTATGCTGAAAGTAACCAGACAGAAAAGCAAATGGAATATTTTTCTTTATCGGATAGTAAGTAAGATTTGCTTTAATTTACCATAAAAACATCATTTAATAGCCTTGATTAAAAATATTTTATAAAAAGGAAGCACTTCTGTGTGCTGCCATGTTAAATTAGTCATTGTACGATACATAGGACTTTTGTGTCTTGCTTTTGGTAAATAAGATTTAAAAAAAAAGATAGAACGTTCATTTATCATCTAAAGTAGTGATTCTCAATTCGAAAAATGCGAAATGTTGTACTTTCTGTACATATTATTAAGTGAAGAAAAAGCCTTCTGTTCTTATAATTGACCAGTGCAGAATTTTTCAGCTGCAACACTTTGCAACGTTGCTATAGCGATGAATAGTCAGTTTTGGGGTTAGGCAAATGATTGATTGCAATGGCACCGTAACATCGTTACAACTGTTCGAATTTATAATACCCAGAAATTCATATGCAGATGTCCTCAATGATACATGGCAGAGTGGATAAAGGCGTTGGTTAGAACCAGAACCCAAAGAGTGTGAGTTCAATACCTGGTTATGGCGGTGGAGAAATTGGAGAGGGGAATTAATAGGAGATAACTGATAACTGACATCCATTAAACATGGTATGAGGAACTAGAGCAGTCTACCACAGTGATCGAAATAAAGGGTTCAGTTCGACATTCCGACCACCTGAAGATTGCCGGAGCGTACAACGTCCGAAACGTTGCTAATAACGCCGAAATTGTATGCTTTTTAAAAGATATTTTTAAGTGAAGAAAATATTATGTTATATGGACAGTGCGTAATTTTCAGCTACAGTACAGAAGTTGAGGGTGGGTTATTAGTTTGGGGTTAGGAAAATGGTTCATTGTAACGTTCCAGTAATGTCGCCAAAATGAACTATATCCTCAAAACGAAAATACAACGTACTCTCAACGTTAAAAGAATGTTACACGATAACTGAGGAAGCTAGTATTTTCACTTAATATCTCTTTCTATCACACATGGTGAAACTATTCGAATCTTTTTAATATGCGGTACCGAAATTCGAAGGCGCATTGGGATAGTGAAAGATGCCTTCCAAAAATTAAGCAGAGTATTGGGAAACAGAAAAAAAAATCGACGGAAACAAAGAAAAGAGTACTGAACTGTAAGATAATATCGATACTCCTATATGGCAGTGAATACTGGACAATCTCCTCCCAGATTGAGAAATGACTTGAGGCAACAGAAATGCGGGTCTACAGAAGGATGCTGAGAATACTATGGACTGAACATGTGAGCAAGGACTAAGTTTTAGAGAAAATGGAAACAAAAAGGTCACTTATACATGGTATCGGAAAGAGACAGTTGAAATTTCTACAATAGGACTTTCACACACGGGAAATATTGAAGGCGAGAGGAAAAGAGCAAAGCAGTGCATAAGCGATTAATATTAATAATAATAATAATAATAATGATGATGATGATGATGGTGATGATGATGCAAATAATGTTGCTCTCCCCTTAAAGGATGTGTATGCCTTGTGCTAGACGATGTTAAGCTTCGGACATATATATATATCACAGTGCCTCCAGATTTCATTTGCCTATCTCTTAAAGAAGAACAAGAAGAAGGTGGAGGAGGAGAGAAAGAAGATGAAAAAGAAGGCGAAGAAGACGACGATGACGGCGAAAAAACTGAAGAAGAAAACGAAGTCGAAGAAGAAGCGGAAGAAGATAAAGTAAAAGAAGAAGAAAAACGAAGGAGGAGAAGGGAGAGGAGGAGAGAAAGAAGATGAAAAAGAAAACTAAGCAGAAGGTGAAGACGACGACGAAGAAGACGGAGAAGAAAAAGTTGAAGAAGAAACGAAGAAAATATGAAGACGAAGGGAAAGGAGGTAAAGTAAAAGAAAAAGAAGGAGGAGGAAACGAAGCAAAAGAAGAAGAAGAAGAAAAGGAAAAGGAAAAGGAATAAGTTGAAGAAGAAAACAAAAATGGAAAAGATGAAGAAGAAGAAGATAAAGTAAAAGGAGAAGAAGGAAACGAAGAAGAAGAAGAAAAAGAAGAAGAAATGAAGATGAAGTTAAAAAAAAGAAGAAGAAAAAAAAGAAGAAGAGAATAATAATAATAATAATAATAATAATATAATAATAAGAAGAAGAAGAAGAAGAAGAAGAAGAAGAAGAAGAAGACTCGGAAGAAGAAGAAGACTCGGAAGAAGAAGAAGAAGAAGAAGAAGACTCGGAAGAAGAAGAAGAAGAAGAAGAAGAAGAAGAAGAAGAAGAAGAAGAAGATGGAGGAGACTGGATACATCATGTGCTTTACAGGAACAACGACAGGTTTGAGCACCAAATCCTTTATAGTGAACTCATCATTAGCCAAAGATCTTTCAATTGCCCTAAAGCGTCACCCTATGGATCACCCGATACAGACTAAAAAAAAAAAAAAGAAGAGATATCAACTTGCCAAACCGGGAGGAACAAGCAACAAATAATCTATTCTGGTGCCAAAATAATTTCACTGCTCAAATATTTCCTCCAAATATGAACGGTGTAGGAACACAAATGAAAAGCAACAAAGGAGACATTCTCTACAAATCGAATATCGGCATCAACTATCAAGTTTTTTTTACCTGTGTGGACGAATGTTCTATTCAAGAATCGGTCTTAGTAGCTATCAAAAATCATAGACACCGGTATTAGAAAAGGTTAAGTAGGGCCAGTGCAAGGGTCTCGTACCCCTTACCCCAATTCATGATACGGGCCCCACTCGACTTCATCTCAATTTTTATAGGGTAGAATTCATTTAAAATAAAAATTTCATTGTAACCTAATTAGATACAGTAATGAATCATATGAAATATAGGTTGAGAATTCATCTTGGAAAATTGAACATAAATGCGTGTCTAAAAAACAAATTACAGACATGTCATAATAGATCATTCCATTTTAAATAAATAAAACATCAATTTGAGATTTTTCTTAAAAAGTTGAATAATTTTAACACATTCACTATTGAAATGTTGAGAAGATAGCGGGAGGGGTGGTCACAAAGCACTGCCCACTGCCCCTAATCAACTTGGGTCACCCTCTGATCGGGGAGTCCGGGGATAGTTTGCACCATCCCTGAGGGTGAGCATAGCACAAGGATTAAATATTCAGAAATTTGGAATAGCTAACGATTGAATTCTACAAAATAACGTATCAAAAGCATAGACAACAGTATTACAAAAAGTGGGGCAAGGTCGGTGGAAGGGTCATGTGTCCCCTCCCCCAATCTATGTTACGGGCCCCACTCGACTTCATCTCAATTTTCATTAGGTAGAATTCATATAAAATACAAATTTCATTGTAACCTAATTAGGTACAGTAATGGATCATATGAAATATAGGTTGAGAATTCATCTAGAAAAATGGAATAAATACAATGTCGAAATACGAATTCGAGACATGTCATAACAAATCCTTTTATCTTAAATAAATCAACAATATTTTACGACAATTTTTAACATCAACTTGATATTTTTCATGTTGTTTAACACATTCAACATTATGGATAAAAAATAATAAATTTTATATAGTGTTTTGTTCAAGATTTAGCATGCTCAAAACAAATTCCCGAATTTGGACGAATTAAAAAAGACACCGGAATGACGTCAAAATCCGCGAAAATGTTTAATCCTCTAATAGTCACTTAATAGAGATTAGTTTACTTTTGTAAATTTATATATAAATGTGGGTATTAAAAGCAAGTGTTGATAAGACAGAGGGGGTCACAAAAGCATTGCCCTAGGCTCCCAATTAGGGTTGCTTTTATTCCTGTCGGTGTATAGTACGCACCGACCATAGATAGATAGATAGATAGATAGTATAGACAAATGATGATATATATATATATATATATATATATATATATATATATATATATATATATATATATATATATATATATATATATATGAAAAGCATTTCTCTATACAGGATTTCTATTAAATTAAAATTTGTTCTGTTTTCTATGCCCATCTAGTTATTATGAAACTGTATACAGTTAATTATATGAAAAGCATGTTTAGTCAATAGTTGGAAATACAATAAATTAAAAATTTGTAGGTAAGACACATGGCCCAGTGGATAAAGGCGTTAGTTAGATCCAGTGACAGGACCCAAAGAGTGTGTGTTCAATACCTGGTTAAGGCAGTGGAGAACTGGGAGAGGGGAATTAACAGGACATAACGGACATCCATTAGACGTGGAACTAGAATAGTCTACCCCAGCGAGCGAAATAAAGGGGGTTCGATATTCGATATTCGAAGAAGACAAGACCAACGGCCGAAAGAAGACGAAGATGAGTCCTAACAATGTAAACAGTAACGAGTTTTTGCCACTTCAAATGAAAATGTTGTGAAAATAAATATGTATCGAAAAAAAAAAATTCAAAACATGAGGGCCAACTTTGATAGTCTTGTTGTTAATTCCAATGGATAAAAATAGAATACGAATTCAAGAATTTGTTTAAAAAGACGCCTGAATGACGCCAAACTTCAAAATGAACAATTGTCAGTTGATAACTAGAAAAACTGAAAATAAATCCACAATGTATCGAAAACAAATTCCAGACATGTTTTGCAGCTGTTTATTAACAGATCATTTTATCTTAAATTCTTTTAAATTTCAACAATAGTTTACGCCAACTTTAAAAAACATCAAGCTCACATTTTATTTTTTAGTGTTGTTGAAAAATTTTCACAGAGTATGAGGGCTTTAGCGGCAGTACTTTTTGAGGTTTTCTGTTTTTTTTCCATTTTCGGGGTGGCATTTTTTTGTTTGTTTGTTTTTTTAATTTCCTGAGGTTCCTGTGTGTTTCCTGGTTTCACAACCTTCAGTATGGCTGACGAAGGCAGTTGGTTAAAGTAAGAAAGACCCTTTGGGAAGGTCGACAGTACCAACCCAAAGGAGAAAATTTCGCCCCTCTTGTTGGAAGCCCCTCCGAATTGTATACTGAATATGGCGGGCCCATCTGGTGAAGAAAGATGGGTCGTCGATGATGTCCAGAACTCGGTATGTTCGCTAAAAGAATGGTGACGGTTTTGTGGTGGACAAGAAACTAAAAGATTTGTCGCTCCACTCCCTGGGGATAAAAACCCCAAAGAGTCATAAAAGGTAGGGATTTTTCATGTGGGATATCTTGCTGCCCACACCAGAAGATTGCTGCATTTTTTATGCAGTACGGCCAGATTTTAGGAGCTCTCTCCGACAATCTGAACGGGGGATGGACGTTTGACATCATGCTTGATCAAGAGGCCTTCAAGTCCGTCCCCAACTGTTTGGTTTTAGGTGACCGGAAAATGCCGGTCATTGTGACTGGTAGGCGACCGACTTGCTGGAGGTGTGGAGAGACTGGTCACCTTTCCTCCTCCTGCCCAGGGAAGAAGGCCCTGGAGTTCCGGTCACAGGCGACCAAAATACCCCCTTGGCCGATAAGGTAAAATCCGCGGCACCTGTAATGGGTCTAGCTGCGAGGCGGACCGATGGGCAAAGTCCCTCGGTTGGGTCTAAGCCCACATTGCCCCCTGAAACCGACGCCTGCCACTAGTGTGGTTAAGGAGAAGGATGAGGGGAAATGGCACCTCGTGGTTAGGGGCAAGGGAAGAGCCAAACAGCGGTTCCTCCGTCCCAGCATGACTCCAGGGACATCATCACCTACAGCCCCATTCCTCTACCAGCGTTGAGGGCGACGCCTCTGCGTCATACGAAAAAGACGGCGACAGATGCGCAAAAGTTGAATGAGCCAAGTTGGCAAAAATTCTTGATATTAAGAAACTGAAGGAAAAATTGGAAGCGAAGCGGGGAAAAAAAAAAAAAAATCGTCGGGGGCACCGGCCCTCTATCCTCTGCCCCGTCTTCCCCACTTCATCTAAAAGGATTTTTAAAACCTCCTCCACCGAAATCTCTGTCAAATTCGCCGACTAAACCTCATCTTTCTGCGAAACCTTCACCTGTAAGAACGCCTTCGGGCATGACAACCCTCCACCATTTCCCAACATGACACCCGTTCCCACTCATACCCCAAAAAAAAAAGAGGAGAAGCCCGGAGTCGCAATCTGTCACTGAAAAAAAAAGAAGAAGGTGAAACCTCCATATCTCCGGGGGAAGACGTCTGCCGCGTATCCCGGGAACAGGCGGAAAGGGTCTTCGGGCAAACGAAAACCCGAAGCCCTTAAAAGTATTATGGAACTTTCGGCACATCAATGGGGTGGATGGAGGTGCCGGAAAACTTCAAGAAGGCAAGAACCCTGTTAACCGTGGTAAGAACTGGCCCGGGAACGCGGGAGATTTGGGGCATGATTGAGGAGGCAAAGTCGTCCTTAAAAGTGGTGCCCCCAGCTGCCGTTCTTATTGAGGAAGATTTAGATGCAAAACAAAGAATTGTAAGGGGAGGGTCCCCTTTTTGTTCACCCTTCCCTGTATAGAGCCCTTAAATTAACTTATCCTTCGGACATCGGCGGCTTGTCCCAGGATGACTCGCTCGATTTTGAGATGAGGACTGGCTCCATGGGACAAGCTGTGGGTGTCCTCACCCCAGCCATGTTCTATCCTGAAGGGCAACCCTAATCGGCCCTCACGATGGCTCTCTCTGGTTAGCAAGTTTGAATGCCCGGGGCCTGAGGTCCGAGTCTCGCAGGGTGAGGCTCTTTCGTGACCTTCAGCGCCTCGGGGTGAATATATGTTGTTTGCAAGAGACCCGGTTTAATTCTCATGATCGTGAGGACATACTGTCTAGGGGGTTCGCCCTTTATTCAGCATGTTTTGACGGTTGTTCGAGGGGTGTCTCTTGGCTAGTTTGCAGGTCTTTGAAGGCTGCATGTACCCTTGTCTTCGCAGATCCGGCGGGCAGGCTTTGCGTGCTGGATGTTACCATAAAGGAGAAGCATCTTCGTCTCATTGGGGTTTATGCGCCCAATATCCATTCCGAGCGGCCTGCTTTGTTTCGGCAGATCGCGCCGTTCTTGACGACGTCTCGTCGGGTAATTTTAGCGGGGATTGAATGCCGTCCTTGACCCCGATATAGATCGGATAGGGCACAAAAAGGTACTAATAACCCGGATGTGAAACCATTTCGGGACTTTATCGATGGGTTTGATCTTGTCGATAAGTTCCGGAATGAACACCCTCGGGAGGTAGCATGGACTTGGACTACTAGTGGCAGCTCGGCTCCTGGCTCGCTTGCGAGCTACCTGGACCGAGTCTTAGTTAGGAGAGTCGATGTAGGGCTCTTAGGCTGTCCAAGTTTCCATTATATAGTTTATACGGACCATA